ACATGCTGCATGAAGGAGACTCCCTCTATCACCAGGGAGAAGAGAATCCTCCTCTGCCAGGTTTCTCTTTTGTTGGTACTGCAACATAGAAACTGCTATAGTCTGCTATGGAGAAGTGCCTTTTACGTTGGGTGAGGTGGTGAAGGTGGATCTGTATAACTACAAATGAGCTGGAAATCCCCCTCTTCCATTCTGTCCACAGTCTAGCTCCAACCCCAGCTTCATGCTCACATGATTGGCTCCTCCACTAGATGGGCTCTGGGTGCATGGAACTGGAAACCCATTGCAATGGCTGCCCACATCCTTCCCCCCACCCCCTACACACACCTTGCACAGCGGAAGAACTACACCCATTCTGCTGTGTTCAGGCCCTTTGATAGCTGCAGAGGCACCACTTAGCAAACAAGTAGCCCTGAGTGAGAAATAGTCCCTTTGCCTTTGGAGGAAATGTTTGACTTTGAAATAAGAACATTTTAAAATAATGGATTGTGCATGCTCTGATCACTATTATTATTACCTGCAGAGAGAAATACCAACATGTGTTTCCCCAAATATTTGCTTCTCTGCTTATATAACTATGCAATTGCTTAAACATCGGAAGGGTGAAGTAACATACTGAGAGAATGACTATACCCAGAGGTCAGTTTTTCTGGTCTAGCCAAGCTGCACTTAAAGCAGAACTGGGAAGGCAAGTAGGAGGAGAGACAAAAGTGGCTTTATGCCATCTCTGGGGCTGCTAGATCCTGGGGATTGCTGAGGGCCTGTTCCCTCCCTCCTCCTACTCCTCAGAGTAGCTTTAGGTTCGTAGGGGAGAAAGAAAACTTGAAGTTGCCTATTCAATCCTCTTTTCTAGAAAGCACGTTGGAAACAGATCTGTATTTAGGACAAATGGCCATGGGACATGAACAAGTGTGATACAACAGTATTATATACAAAAACGCAAATACTGAAGGGCAGATTCTGATACTATCACACTGAGTGGCACTCCATGAATGTTCTCATTGAAGTGAATGGTATCACTCGTGGAGTAAGGTGCTCCTCAGTATGAGTAAAGGTATCAGAGGCTAGCCCGAAATGAAGTGCAGCATGGCTCCCCTACCTATATAATATCGCTAATGAAAATATTTAAAGGCTTGATGATGTTTCAGCTCACATTGCTTGACCATGAAAAAATTGATCAAATGAATCCTAAACACACGCTGTAATCAATACTAACTCACTATAGCATGTACTTTCACTTACATAATGAATTCATTTCACAGCATGGTATCTCCTATGTTGTATAGAAGATGTCCCTTGAACGAGTGCTGCAGCAGCTGCATGTCTGCAATAGTAAAATGATCCCATGTATTAATTTTCAATATTTCTTTAATTACTTGATGGAATGCAATTACTAAGAATTCTATCTATTGGAAATTGTCAATAGCAAAAATCTGCCGTGATCTCTTTAACAGCTCATTACTTCTTCCCCCTACAGCTCCAAGCTTTATGCCTTTACCATTCAAACACTAGGTTGCTCTTGTTTATGGCTGAAAGCTGTTGTTGTAGAATAATGGTGATTCCAGTTGACCTTGAACACTAATACCTCCTGAGCCATTTGACACCTCCAAGCTGCAACAGAATAAAGGAGGCTCTGCCTTATGATGGATTTACTGGGTAAATCAGTGCCTGAAGGGACTGCTCCATTTCAAAATAGTCATCGTTACACTGATGTCATCAAGCAGCTTATCGAGATCTCTGGTTGGATATAGTATTTGAGGATGTTAAAAGGTTATTTACACAGATTTGTAGCACATCAGGATGCATTAATCCAATTATTTCTCTGACTGGTACTTAAAGTGTCATTGGAACTGAAATAAAGGTAAATGTCACTGTCTGGAGGTTTCAAGACAAAGCAATTTGTCTTCTAAACATCTGTTATGTATGTGTAATACAAAAAGAACCTCACACTAGCTAGGAAGGAGCTTGCTTGACATCGCTGTAAAATTTGATCAGCCTTAAATGTAACTATAAAAATATTAGACTATAAACAGGTCTTTACTTTTCTATTGATTTTCCAGATAGACTCTGATTAAAGGCATCTTTTTAGTTTGTGTTAATTAGGTGTCTTCCCTGGAGCTGAGAGAGTTTGGAAAAACACATGTAACATGTTCACTTTTCAATTTTAAAAAAAACTCTCTCATTCTTGAATTTAGGGCAAATTTAATTAACTTCAACAGATAAATCTTCAGTCTTAAGCGCACTCTCTCTGACTGGTCTCACTAATAGAAAGTATAGTGCTGTCATGTCCAAAGCAAAGTAGTAATGATTTTAACCTTCCTTTTTGAGAGAGAGACCGTGAATGTGAGCCACTATCAACCCAGAGTCCCCCTCCCCCACCCTGTGTATAGGTCACTGTGCCGGCCTCACCAGCCCAGAGTGACACTAAGGCTGACATAGCTTATCATGGAAGGATCTCTCATCCAACATTATGGCCGGCATAATGGCTACCATGCCACTCCTCTCCCTGCAGCTTGCATAGGAGTTGTGGCCAAAGACAGGGAGCATTGCTGAGGCTTCTCTGCTTTCTGGCAATCCCCAGCTGCCCTAATGGTCCCTTGGTGGGGATTGATAGCTGATATAAATACACACCTGGGGACTGGACCAGAACACAGTTAGCCCAGGGTTAGGGGTAGCAAAAGTGGCTTAAATCCCTCCTGAGGTATGCTATGCCATTTTGTTTTCTGGTATTGAACATGCTTCGTGCTATTTTCTCCCCTGTCTGTTTGGTCTTAAGACTGAGCTCAGAAAAGGGCTCTTTTAAAAGTTGATAGAACTTGATAGTTGTCTTTGCAATAAGAACCCTCTAGTGATTTACAGGGTTTATCCAGCATTTGTTGTCTCTAATCTGGAATAAATATGATTTGAGTCATTCTCTGAATCACACGAAGTTCATGTGCAAGACAGCCCCATTCACAAGAAGTTCATGCTACACTGATTCCCTTGTAAATTCTAATCATTAGATTATTTCACTGAATGGCTCCATCATGACTGCCATCTCCCATTAGCAGTAGGTTCACATCATGGCTAAGTGTGACGTGGCATAATTCTCATCAGAGTCCAGTTTGCTCCTTTTTCAGTATCTAATTAGAGAATGGCACTGGGTTTGTGAGCTTTCCCAGCTTTGAGGTTTTCTTCCAAAGGCCTCCTAGTTAAAACTAGTAGTGGGTAAACTAGCTTCTGGCTAATATTACTTGACCCAGGAAATAATTAAGTTCAGTGTGACCTGGTCTAAAGATTTACACTGAGCTCCTCACTGGAGGAAGGTGAAGGACGAGGGGGACCAGTAATGTTTTGGAGAACCCAGAGGTGACCATAGCAGAGGTACTTTGTGTGAGCCTAAGAACCCCTCAATGTCAACTGGCAAGGGAGTTACAAGAATATACTGATGTATGTATGTACATTCCAGATGATTAAAGAATATTGTGTGAGGTCTTAAATGAAAGCCAGGATCACACCGATCATTAACAGCGCTATGAAATGGATGTGCAGATACATGCAAGGAATTATGTATGTATGCTGAAAATGGGTTCCTAAAGTTTGTATCAAGGCAGAGCTGGAAAATAGGTTTTTCTGCCAGATAAAAGATGTTTATTCACCTATCACTCTGTTGGCATGTAAATTAAGCATTGTAAGCCAACACAATGGAAAGCTCATTTACATACAACGATAACGGGAGCATGTGAAATCACCGGGAAGGCAACACACTGCAGAATAAGTTATAGGGGGTTGTCTTGACTCTGGGTATTGACAGTGAACTTTGGGGAGTATAAGGAGAAAGCAAAGAAGACACCTCCTTATCCTGCACCTTGGAAGTAGTCGGGCAATACAATTACATTCATGAAAACAGGATCATAACCAATGGTGGTGGAAACACTGCAAAGAACATTTGCAGGAACAGAAACTTCATTAGAGAGAAAGTTAGCCTACTTAGTTAAGATTAATAGAAAGAGTATTATGATTTTGTTTTATACATAACCCCTTGTTTCCATAACCCTTACTTGCTATCCCTTGAATCTTTGATAATACACTTATCACTGTTTACTATTCACTATTATATCTACCAGTGCTGTGGTATGATACAAGGAGGTGATCCTGAGTTGAATCATACAAGTTGATATGTACACTGTTCCCATGGGAGTAGCAGACCTAGTATTTCTGAGAGTAAATTTCAGTGGATAAAGGGCTGGACAATACAGTAGAATGCTTTAAAGGGGCTTGAGGCCTGGGGTGCACCTGTTGCTAACCTGCAAGACAAAGTAAGGGCTGGCATAGCCCAGAGGAGAGTGCTTGAGTAGCTAACAGGCTGGTAGTGTCAGGGAGCTGACACCCAGTTAAGCATGTGTAAATCTCCCTTTCACTGGAGGCAAGGGGGTAACAAGCTGAACCTCAGTACCCCAAGCACTGTCACACCTTGATTTTCAAAATAATGCTTCCCTGCTCTCATTGTGGTCTCACTGAAAGTGAGACTGACATGTAAGCGAGGGGGCAAGAAATCACCAGAGACAAAAAATTAATAGTCACTTTTTTTTTTTTGCCATTCACCCACAGCGAATCCCCTGTGAATGCTATATAAATGTCAGTCATAAAATCACTAAACACGTTGCAAAGAGGGGCAGCACATTCAGCTTCTGCTACCACTGGACAGCCTCCAGCATTACATGACAAGATATCTGGCGGTGACAGATTTCTTCTTCAGGGGATGACAACTGCCCCAGACATGGCTGATGATGCTCTCCTAAATTACAGAATGCTACTTTGATAAGGGCTTAGGTAATTGTAATGCTATATTATGTAACAAAAATCATTTGAATATTAGATTCACCATCAAAAGGTGGTTGAGGTTTGGGGAGGTAGAGATAAGTCAGTTACACCATTATTAGGTCATGTCTAGCCAAACAGTATCTGAAGTGACTTTTTTTCCTCATACACAAAGAGCAAATCATGCAGTCTTAAGCCAAATGTCTTTTATTGTAGACTAAGGAAAACAATGAAGGAAGAAAAAGCAAATATAAAGTCACTGAGGGTAAAAACAGAGAGTCTCAACCCCCTGGCAAGATCCTCCCACCACAACTCCTGCAGCAGGCCTCCAAAGACTCCTCCCATTTAATGATGCAACACAAAGAAAACAGAATCACATGGCCTCATTTACATCTCCCCTGGCCTCCTATAAGCAATCAGCTGACAAAAAGTCCTCTACTCATTTATTTAAATAATTTATCCTCTGCACGAACTCTTTTATGCTGAGAGAAGGAGTTGAACAGAGTGGCAGAACACAATAGAAGTGAAGCTGGGCAAGGTTGGGAAGCTGAAGGAAGCCATGCATTCTGTCCAAATGGATGGGAGGAAGGCATGATTGCAGCCTATCAGTGCAAGTGAAGGGAGGGCTTGAGAAATGAAAACAGAGAAGAAGGTGGCCCAAACTGAGCAGAACTGGTCCAAAAAAATCATCCTTTTTTGCCTGCCAAAAAATTAGAGTTTTCAACAGGACACTTCAAAATTAAATTAAAAATTCAGTTCAAAACTCAATGAAAGTTTTCATTACATTTCATTTCAAATTTTCCCATTCAAAAATTGTGTCAAATGAAATTCCCACCACCGCCTAAAAATTTTTAATTTATTTTTTAAAAAATAACCCATTTTTCAACAGGAAAATTATGTGTTTGAAAAATTTGAACCAGCTGTAAAAGTCAGACAGCAAACTGTAGTTTCCAGAGGAATGCATGCCAGTGGAGGGGGCTGCACACTAGATGTGGGACAGGGTAGATGAAAAAGGGGTGAATACAAGTAGGAGGGTGAAAACTCAGAAACTCAGTCAAGTGAACTATCTTCTGGAGCTTTTGCCTCAGGGAAGTGACAAATGCATGATGTAAAAGCAGAAAATCTTGGAAGATACTTAGGGCCAAATTCTCAGGTGGTGAAAATCAATATGGGCCCACTGAAGTCAGCAGAGACCTGCTGCTTTACACCAACTGACGACTTGGTCCTTACGATTTAATAACATTAACACGACATAGTTTGTAGTCACATAATGCTGATGAGTGCTAACTAAGCATGATTCAGTTACATTTGTGTCTGAGTGGTTCATTTACTTATCATTTCCAATTTCCTTTTGCTTTAGCTGTTCCTCAAAGAAGTCATTGCATGCTACAGTCAAAGCAGCAACCAGAATGACAAATTCATTAAAATCCACTTCATTGTCTTTATTGGTATCCAGATCTTTCATGATCTTATCAACCAGCTGCGGATCCTTTTGGCACTAGAAAGAAAAAAAGAAAATTAAATTTAAAAAGACCAACAGATTTGTGGACCTTCAGTTTGATGTTTCTTAAATGTAGTTAAGCTTGGCAGAACTCCATTTTTATTTTTTTATAATTTGACTGATTTCAGTTTATTTTTAAACATTTTTCCATTTATTTACATTTTCTCATTGTGCACAATTATGTTTTTAAGCATTTTGTTCTATGTTTATCAATTTAAATGTTCACAGGTATGGGATATTATGGAGAGGGTCAGACAAAAATTATTGAATGACAGTAGATGTTAATATTCAAAGAGTTAAAGCTTTACAACAGTTAAAACACAAATTGTCAACCTCGCACATCAAAATATACCAAGGAAGCATCCTTAAATCAAATTCTTATAAGTTCTCAAAGAGCATTTTTCTTACTTTGCCTAGCTGTAACTTGATTATTATCAATGGAAAAATATTTTTTCTTTGGTTTGTGTGTGTATGGTGAAATTGATGATTACCAACATGTACTGATGAAAATCTAATCCTTCCAAGCCTAAATATAATCTGCCTGGATATTATTTGTATAACAGGTATAAAGTGTGTTTCATTTTCTTGAACATACACACACTAAACCCACAAGCCTTCCAGGAATTATTTTTACATGTACTGTATCTTTAACTATTTCAATGTCTCAAATCTGTACTCAGTTTAACAAGAAAATGACTTAACTGTGGTGCACATCTTGAATGTATAGTTCTGGTATATCATAGTACAATTCAGTAATGTGCTAAAAATGTAAGTAGCATCAATTCTTTCAATCTGTTCTAAAAATTAAAAATGAAGGTGCTGTGTGAAATTTTCATTTAAAATGTCTGTATATAAATATTAACAGGGTTAAAAGCATAGGGCCAGGTTTTCAAAAGAGCTCAGCAACAAATAGGCACTTAAATGAAGCAACCAGATTTGTGGAGCTGTCGAGTGAAAATCTGGCTCATGTTTATTTTAAAATAGGAACTATATCAATGTTGTTTGGGGGGGTTTTATGCTATTTATAATTTCAAGAGGTTATTTATATAGGACCAGATAATGCCTTCTTTTGTCAAAATTGGTAGAACCTTATTTAGCAAGTACGGGTCCTACTCAATATGAGTAAGGGCAGCAGGTAATCAATAGCCAGGATTAAAAAGAAAATCCAGTCCAAGAAATTTCATAAATGGATTCAAAATAATCCTGCTGTTATTATTAAAGACCACAGAATTGTTAGGATTACTAAAATACAGGGAATCAATTATGTACTAGATTCCATAAGAATTTCAGTTTGAATAATTTAAGAACACAACAGATGTGCATAAATTAATTCAAATCAGCAATGACTGTGAGAGCTCTTCTCAGCAATATCTCTGTTCAGTACAGATAGGGAGCTATATTTGGAACTTACAGGATTGCCAATAAACCTGTGAAAAAATGTGTACCATACAACTGTAAGCCTGAAGAAGCCCTAAAAGAGCATGAAACATTCCCGATGCTGATCGCAATCAGTCTGCATATGTTTGGGACTGCACAGTCATTTCCATTCACTACACTTCAAAATGTCTCTCTCCTCCTGAGAACTATATACCTGTATTGTATTCCAATTTTGCTTAGGGCTGCTCTACACTCAGTTCTAACTAAATTGATTAAAACTGATTTAACTAAATCATTTTTTCTACTATTTCTAGATTGTATTTGGCACTGATGTTCAAACACACAGCTGAATAATCAGTGACTGACGTGGTTTTCATCATTTGTGACTAGTGGTTCAAAGCAAAGGTGCGCATTTTAATATACTCATCAAACAAGACACTTGATATTAGCGTTTTCTCTTTGGCTCCACAAACACAGTTGTCATTTGATTGTATAGTTTAGATGCTGTCACAGCATGGACTTGATTGTATAAGGAAATGCTCTTCCAGAATCCTTCAGTAGCTATTTCCCTCACCCACTAAACCTTAATTTAAAGAGATGTAAACTGCCTCTTACTGAAAGGAAGTCAGTGAGTTCACTGGTAAGGAGCTGTTTGAGTTCTCCTTTATTCAGTTTGTATTTGTCCCCTTCTTTGCCTGAATAATGGTGAAAAATCTTGATCAAGGTGTCCATAGCATTCTCCAGTTGTGTAGGCATATTGTAGAGTGGAACAGCTCTAGGACAGAGAACAAAAATCATTGGTACTGTACATGAATTATATAGAACTCAAGCATGTGAGGAGATGGAGAGCTGTCTGGTGCAGTTGTAAAATAGAAGCTGTCATAAATACTGAAAAACATGTATTCATTTGATCCATACAATCAAATGGTGACTTACACCACTAGACTATGATATTAAAACAAAACATTGTACTGCAGACATCATAGATTAGCTCTGGAAAATAAATGTGAAGGGTTAAACGAAAGCTCTACTGTGCATCCAGTATGATCAACAGGAAAACATTTATACAGCAAGTTGAAATCACAGGCGTAAAGAAAGCATATTATACCAGTACATAATCTCCTACCTGTTCAACCAAAAGAATATTGTCAACAGGTAATGATAGCTAAATCGTACCCACATTTATACTGAGAGCTCCCGCCTAGCATACCGATTTCCCTGATGCTCAGAGGGAAATCACCAATGATAGCAGATTCAAATGCTGGAGCATCAGCTTTCACTTTATTGGGTCCTACTGTTTTGGTTTTTTAAGTCACCTGGAATGAACAGGTGTGAGCTTCTGTCCCCAAGTGGCCTTCCAGGGACTGGCTTCACTGAGCATTCTGTAAAGAGAAGAGCGATTATATCATTAAACCAGAAGAGGGTGGAAATACAATTAGTTGCTAGGAAGCTGAGGATTGGGAAAATAACTAAAAATAGAGATCAGGTGAAGGGGAAACATTTCTTTGTGTAAACCAAGGGAGAGCTCTTACAAAGATAAAGATAACAGGAAAGTCACTGGCAATATCATACAGCGAAAACTGAGCCGTATCAATTCTACAGACTATACAAGAAAATATACACAGGGAACACTGTAGCTAAAGTCCACCTAATTTCTAAAACACATGGACACACACCTGTCTACTATAGTGATTAAGTGCTTTATTGATATCTAGACACACAGATAAAAGCATACTTTCCTGGAATGGTCACAAAGAAAAGGTTTGTTTCTGATTCCATGGGTATTTGTTTACTCTGTTTAATAATTTTTTCACTATGAACTTGTCACAAAAAAATCACTGAACGCAACAGAAGTGCTATAAATGGTGCATGCAAAATATTTATTCTTTTATTGTTTGACCTTTTTAAAATGGGCCCATGTGGGGGCCTGGAGAGCAAAATTAGAAGTGACAATGACAAAAATCAACTCAAAGTAACTCCCTCCAAACAAAACCACAATCTAACCTAATCTAATCTGTGTGCATTTCTAAAGCAGCAAACCTTAATGTCTAGGCACTTGGGGCCAGATTTGCAAAAATATTTAGGCACATCAAGATGCAAATAGATACCTAGTGAAATTTCCAAAAGTGCCTAGGACCCAGATACTCAAATGTATTTAAGTGCCTCACTTCCACTGAAATCCCTTTAGGCACATATCTGAATCTTTAGGGCCTGGTCTACACTAGGCGTTTATGTCGAAGTTAGCGCCGTTAAATCGAATTAACCCTGCACCCGTCCACACTGCGATGCTATTTAGTTCGACATAGAGGTCTCTTTAATTCGACTTCTGTACTCCTCCCCGACGAGGGGAGTAGCGCTAAATTCGACATGGCCATGTCGAATTAGGCTAGGTGTGGATGGAAATC